CGGTAGACGGTAGAGGGAGCCCGCCCGGCCCGCCGTTTTTTCCGGGGGGGGGGGCCTGGCCTGGCCTGCGCCGCTCCCCGCCCCCGCCCCCGTCTTCCCCTCCCCGCCCCGGCCCTCGCCGCCGCCGCCCCAGGTCGGTGGGTTGCCGCTTGCGGCTCTCGGTGCGGGAAGGAAGGCTCCGGCGGCGGCAGGCTGCACGGTGATCGCTTCGAGGGGGCACGGAAATCTTCGGCTTTTGAGCTGTTTTCATTTCTCTTCCCCGTCCGCTTTTGTAGCGTTGGTCGTGACAGGTGGAGCTCTGAGAGACTCAAAAAGCGGCCGGTGCTGGGCCTACCCCTGAGCTTGGCTCGCTGGCCTCTTTAGAAGATCGGCATTGTTGTGACTTACCCAAAGAAAAACAAGTAACCTGTAAACAGTGAGCTATAGTAACTAATCCGGTGACATAACCTTCCTGCAGACCACACGGAAGAAATGATTCTCAACGCTGTCCTCCAGTTAAGAACACGCTGCCCAGTAAAATGGACTTGCTTATTTCAAAACCAGAAATAGCAACAGTTGGCTCTTTTGACAGATGCTGTATTGTTAGAAATAGCTGCTTTGCATTAGTTCTCTAACTCGGAGTAGTATCATGTTCTTTTTATACAATAAGGTTAGTGAGCAGTCGTAGTTTAATTTCAACACACCACACACAATTTGGACTGCATTTACAAGAGAAGTGAGATCATGCTAAAAAATACCAAACCAGACACTTAGTCTGTTGATATGTCGTGAGCTTAGACTGTTTCTGAATCCCACTTGTTAGAAGGAAGCGTGACATCTGCTCTCAGTGGAACATTGTTTTTAAGTGGGTGACAAAACAGGTATGATACCTGATAAGTCATTCTTAGTGCACACAACGTAAAGTGTTTCCTGTTTCTAAGGTAACTACATTGGCATTGACTAAAATTACAGGCAGGATGAGTCCAGGTGAGGTGACTGTCATAAACAGGAAACAAACTTAGTTGGTAATAGACTTGTTTGTCCTTTCTAGACTTGTTATTGTCTTCTTTTTTCTGCCCTTATGCTTTTAAGTTTGCTGTTGATCCTCTTGGCCTGGTGTCTCCAAACCAAACTCATAGCAAGCTTGCTATCTACCTGTCTCTCCTCTTTAGAGAAGTACCTGATCCTGTTTATCCTTCTAGCATAGTGCAGCAGCAGATATTGAGTTCATTTTTAACTGATGCCGAAATGGCTACTGTTGGTGTTCAACTGAATAAGTAGAAGAGAAACTGTGCAAATGTAACTTTGGAAAAGTGGACGGTGATGTTTTGTGACCCCGTGATGGGTCATCGCTAAATACTGTTGGGAATTCTTATTACTGAGAATCATGGCTGAGGACGTCACTGTTTTAGCCACATTTCTCTTTTGTTCTATAACCATTCCTACTATTATGAATACTGCAGTTCTCCTTTGCCTTTTGAAATAGCATTTAACTGTTCTAAAACACTTTTTGAACAGGGAAGACAGCATGAAGCCTTTGAGAACGGGTCCCTAAATTTCCTTCGCTTCCCTCCAACAGAAACTTCATCCTGCAGTGTTTGACTGAAGGGAAAGTGGGAAGTGAGAGTTTCTTGCGTGTTTTTTTTGTAAACAATCCTAGTTGAGATGTGCAAATGCCTGAAGTGGCCATGTCATGATTGATGCATGCCTGATATATTTGAGGTAGGTTCCAAACCTGAAACTTAACTGGCCTTAGTGTATGGGAACAAACATATGTGCTTAGTTCAGCCGTTCTCTGTAAGCTAAAGTTACCGTGTCTAATCAGCATCGTGGCTTCCAGTTGACTGGAATTGCGTACAGTTTTCCAGTATGTGGAATGTTCAAGTGGCTTTTCTGTGGGTAAACACCTAAATTTGAACCGGTAATCAGTAGCTTATTTTACTGCTAATGTGACTTGCACTGTAAGGTTTTTCTGTCTGTAGATTGCGAAATGATAGACATCCTGAAATCTAACTTAACTATGGTATGATTCAAACTCCTCTTCCCCACCTTGGA